TCAGCCGATGAGAACTCGGTCAACGAGGATCAGAGACTGAAAATACGTCGTTGGTAAAACGGAAGGTGAGTCGGAGGGATTTCCGCGCGGCACGAACAAACACTGCGTCGATGATGGCTTGTCACCGAGAAAGGACCGACATAAGAGCACATAAAGGAACAGCGCAGTCTGTCAACCCCCACAAGTTGATCAGATCAAGTGTGAGCAGAAGTATTATGCTACTGTAGGGGATACAACCCTATTGTTGCCACTTTTGCGCTGTTGTATCACCTGCATTGATATGAGGGATTTTCAGAATAGACCTTCAATTATTGAGATTATGTCACAGAAAGGGGGAGACCGGGCAACAGGATAAATACACTAGTTCCCTCAGAATGGAATAGACTGGAGGCAATTGATGTTCTATTCGAAACTGAGGTATCCCAAGTTCTGAACTTTCAAGCTGGCACTACAATTTTGACACAAAACAAGATGAAGCGGGGTGTTTGACCTCAATAGAGTAATGCAACTGGTATATATCAATTGGTAAAGCTTACGTCTACGACTACGCACTCTTATTTGCTTTCGTTCTTCGTCAACATTAACTGTTCAATGAGAATCGATTTCCTTCCTTTATTTAGAGGCACAGTTCACGGAAAACTGCTTCTGCATTTTCATCTTAGGATGAATTCGAAGCCCCTCTTGATACCATATGTGCCGATGTCAGGTCGAGAAATGTCTTGGATAGGGCATAATAAGGGACCAGACACTGTATCGCGTGAAAGCAACACCCCCAGCAGACGATTTCCAACAGTGTTATAGGGGCTGCCCTACCTCAAAGAACCCCCATGACCCACGGTGACAGTGGAAAGCAGTCTTAAAAAATTGACATGATGTAGTCAGCTCATCCCGCTATTTTCATAACTGAAATCTCGTCCGAATACCCCTTGCTTGCCATTTCCGTCATGGTAATCTCGTTAAAGCTCTGTTTCCACTACTTGAGAAAGCCTTATTTTTCGCCAAATAGGCGGATTCTCTCGTTTCTCATCGATGCAGTACACTACGTCAACCCTACCTCTTTTCAACTCAAAATGAGTACCTCAAAATTATTGTGAACTATGCCTTTAAGTCTACTCGCCCAGCGCGACCTCCACGGAGCAATTCGCTTAGTTAACCGAAGCCATGAAGATTCGGCGTAACATCGTCGGACGAGCATCTAGCATTGCTCATGGCCTCCCTCAGTTTCATGGATATAAACCACAATTTGCAGAACTTTGAGATCGGACAACATTTACCGCAAGAGGGAGAACCTAATCTCTCAATGAACCTCTAGCACACAATCACGAAAATTCAGAACGTGAACCGGGTTTTCACACTGACCGTGTGGTGAAATGAAATGTAGCATACGCAGAACTTCACTGACAACATGTTTCATTCCAAGTATATCCTTATTTCAATACGGAACACCCAGTCTCCCTACATATTCAAGGTAAAAAGGAAAGGCCTCGGGCAAGTAACTGAACTGATGGATGGAGTGTCGAGTGGCTGAAATGAGTAATAAGCAGACGTTCGAGTCATGGCTCTCAGCCGATAAGTAGTGGGACCTTGTGTTCGTTTCGAAATCTTCATACTATTAACGTGTTGGCGACCATGCGTCGCGCGTCGATGCCAGGACGCACGTTTTTGGCTCGCTGGGGTATCTATATCATTCATCAGGTGTTCCTATGAATTTTTCGTGTTTTCATGAATCAACTGAGCTCACAGCCTGTTAGAGAATCTTGAAGCATTGCGGTCCAGGGATCATTCATTTCTAACTACAGATATCAGAGAAAATAAAGGTTAATGTAAGGACAATATAAAAACGCGGTCGCCAATGGGTTAAGCATGAACGTGTTTCCACTACCATCACAGTTTTTAACAGATGCCCACTCATCAATGATGCTCGATGGTTTATTACTGCGGTGGTTTCACTGCTTATCCGACATCTGACACTGTTCTACATAAAACATTAAATTGTTAAGGATTCATTGTATACATCAAAAGCGTGAAGGATGCACACTTGCCTTGCGAGATCCCTTACCTGCCCTTACAAATTGTTATAGCTCTCTGTCATCCGATATCCACAATCACGTCACGCTCCAACACCAAATTAAAGTAGATTGGCTATACAGTCGATATAAAAAGCGCGAGGGATCAGTGGCTTTCGCCTTTCCGTCATTCGAAACTCGTATCGAGTCGATCACAGGCTGTCACATAGCATCATGCCCTGCTGCACCTTATTACACATGCGCACTGCTAATGTAAGGTTACTCTATTCGAAGTTTGCCTTTCGAAACTTCGACACTGATCAGATATTAAAACAATCCGTGGTAGATCTTTTTTGAACCGTGATATACCATATCACACTATGAGGCAATACTTCAATACGGGATCCATCGATTCCCACCTTTTAGGCCCTTTATAAGCCCTAACCTTAATACTCTTTATGAGTTCCTGCCACCCTCCATTAGTGATTCTACTCCGTCATTTTTACCCCTCTCAACTAAATGCTCTTGATCAGAAGCAACAAGCTTTATTAATTTCCGGTCACACACCTCGCACGCATACAAAAGCGGCATACTACATGCACACATACAAACATGCACACACGGGCACATTTACCTTTGGGGAATCAAATATATGATATTCCGAGATTAGTTTTTGGAGTTGAACAACGGAAGTGTTGGTACAAAACCGCCCATTGGTGGCAAAAATCGGCAGGATTGGTGAAATACGATGGCTCTCGAAATAGTTAAGATAAGATGGCGACATTGACATTTGTGCGAGATTATGGCGACGAAACTGGAGTGGAAGGCTGTTCGGACAAGATTCCAGGCGTCTACTGCGGAAAGATCTGTATACAGAGAGCAAAAATGCCAAAAATTGTCATTTTCAGGGGACGGGTATGCAGAAAGCAAGTTTTTGTGCTACTGCGATCTTCAGATTGTTTTGTCTACCGTTGCTCTTATATTGTTATGCTGTGTTTGTTATTGCTGTTATGTTACATATTGCGATGCTATTACATTTTGGCATTGTGAATGGATGGTGCTTTTGATGTGGTGCAGTAGGATCGATTGTCGCGTCGCGGCGAGAGGGACGCCGCGCGCGAAGGAATGTAGCAGGATGCAGCGGCAGGTCAGAATTGTAGGAACAAAAGAACTGGCAGTAGAATCCTGCCTAAAATAATGATTGCATATCGATTGAGCTGTTCGAAGAACGCCGGAGCTGTGATAACGGCGAAGCGAATGTCCGCGGCAGCCGCAAGCGGCGAATCGGTTACATAAAAACGATCCTACTGACCGTCTCCCCTTCCGCCTATACAAGGCCTTCGAAATGCGGCCACTTCTGGTCGTGGTACGAAATGGAGACAATTTTTGAGCAACTATTATGCGCTATCTACACCGCCTTTCGAAACATTCTGCTATCCTTGGGATTCAGAGATTCGGTCCAACAGGCAACTTCCAGAATCGTTTTGATCGTGGACTGTGCCTTTCAGCAAACCGCCTAGATCGACCGATGCCTGACACCCACTATTATTGTTTACGAATGACAGCTACAATACTATACTTATAGCAGTCATCGTCCATGACTCTCCTTATCTTCATATACTTTTCGCAACTGAAGCAAAACGCAGTTATGTTTGATGTGAAAGGCTAGGTATTATCTGCAAGGGTTGATCGAGGTCGATCCTTGACCGTAGGTGTGGTAGCTTGCTCCCACCCACGCGTGCGATTAAGAAATCAAATCGCTATCCGCTCTATATCATACCTTTCGGGCCAGTTAATTGGTCTTGTCCGCGGCGTGAAAGCATAGGTTTTCCATCGGCTGGGACAACTCATTGCACGGAAATAATACGCATCCAGGCGTCTTTGTATCTTAATCCTGAGAGAAATGACTCCCGAATGATTAGTCGCAAGACGGGATTGACAAATGCTAAAAAACTTCATCTCACACCTTTCAGTTTATCGTAAACATAAAACTTTCTCCTCTAATTCAGGAACTGAGTTGAAAAAATTCCCTAGGTAGGGCAGAGTTCCAGTGAAATGGCTGAGTTTACACCATGCATGCGCTCCATCGCTTCTGTATCTTTCGAAATGAAACCCCAGTTGTAGAGAATGCTGAACGAACTCATCAGCAACCATTTAGCTTACGTGCTTTGTTTTACTTTAGCTACTACTGCAGCTACCTCATATGACCACAAATGGTTTGGCAGTAGCTCGTTTGCAAGGATGACAAGCCACGTGTGTGTTTTGTAATAGGTTGGTGCATAATTATTGCGGATTTTCTCTTGATACAATTTGAATATTGAATCCGGGATTCAAGAGGAATAATATTCTTGCTTTCCTCAGCAGAAATGTTCTAGAAGGTCATCTTTATATACGCCACATTATGCTCTATTACTTCTAGAAAGGTTGGAAGGTGGCAGAGCCTTAAAGTGATCTCAACGAACTTTTCTGCCATGGAACAGTCAGCCAAAGTCGAATAAGGAATGGAAACTGCTTCTACCTCCGCTCTATCCACCAACAGAAACTCCTATGGATTAGCAGGTCAACCATCCTTTGAAAGATCGGCTAACGAACAGAACTTTCGACGAAATGGAGGACCTGGTGACTGACGTCAAGGAGTAGATCGCCTCAGATTTTGCATCAACCTAATACTTATAGGTCCCGTTGACTTCGAGAGTCATTTCTTCTGGAGAATTAAGTGTGCTCCTCTGCATCCACCCCAACGACTGCAGATCATAGGAAACAAGGTCGATATAAGTGATACAGGGTATGATGATTTTCTTTTCAGACAGAGAATATATTTCCACAAATAAGTGAAGGGGAGAAGGTCAAATATGAGTCATCGTCTCTTTCTCTTTCTCATTTACCAGCTTTCATGGCGCTAATGAAGTACAGAAGAATTTTTTGAATGACCACAAGCTGTGAGTTTTTTGATGGACTTCAGCTCAAGAACTGGAACAGCAAATACGTTGCTACTTACTTCTGTCTTAAATCTTGTGCCATGGCGGTGATGGCGCAGTCTTCTCGGGCAGGTGGCGGTAACGTCGGGAAGTTCAATACGTACGGTAGATTAGCAACACCTTGCTAAACACACACAGCGAGGATTCTTCGCCATTTTGAATGAAAATAAATGAAGATTTCGTAGAATAAGATGTTGCGTCCATCTCACCTCTTCGATCTGTTCTCGATGTATCGGGAGTGCGAAGGCCTCGTCGGCGTAGTCTAGAAAGGTCGAACTTGTCTCTGGTGGATGGAATATTGCTATTCGCCAACCGCCCCGAGCCAGGGCTGTCAATGTCGGGCCGTAGTTACCAGCATCTGAATGATTCCTCTTATCAGAAACACCACTGTTACCACAAAATCCATAGATTCATTATATTCGATATCTGGATTGGCGCAAACTTCATGCATGAACCTTCATTCGGTCCTTGCTTGCACGTTACCGCCCACGAATCCTTTTAGAATAAATCTTCCTTTATTGGCAATTAAGCTTCAGTTGATTATCGTCATTCATGTATGATATTCAGCTGTACCACCTGTCATTCCACTTATCTTCGATTTGTCCGAGTTGGGGCGAGTGATGTCCTTTTACGTATTCTGGACACCATGCGAAACATTCTCTTCGCTCAGGGTTTCACGGAATTTCTGGTCATTGGGTTGGCGACGGTTTTGATGGTCGTTCGATTCCCCATGATCGAATGACGTTCCACCTGACCTGGTCTTCGACTTCTTGACATGAACAACAGTCTCCCTTACATATTTTCATCATCGATGGAGTTCGAGACTCCAGATTCGCTTTTGCACTTGTTTGTAGCGGGGAAACGAGAACATCTTCCTTTTCTGAGTGTACTGAATGGCGGTGATTGCAATCTTTGGAACATGACGAACGTAGGTGAGGCGTCCAGATATGTCCGCTCCGTTGAGCAAAATAAGAGCATCATTAAAGAGATGGGTCATGAACACCGTCCTCGTAGGCTTATTTTAGCCGGCATCCTTTCTCAGTGTTGTAAGCATGATGTTTGTAAACTCACAAAGAATCTTGTTAAATAGTGTAAAAACATCTTGATAGCTCGAGTTTGACATTCGCTTCCGCTTTCATAGTGTATCAATCAAGCTTTAGCTTGTACATTGTAACGTCAGCATGTGAAAGTGCACTGATTCTTCACCTCAACACCACTCACCGGAAACGAGAGCAATCAACCCAGGAGCTCCACTAATGGTAGATGCATGCCACACCATTCGTTGACAGAGAGCCTCTTCAATGGAACCTTCAGTAGATAGTGACATATGAGCGATTTCTCCATGCTGAACATTGATATTTCAAATATTTCCTAATATTGAGAGCACTCTTACTACATATTAGATGTTTCACATCTCGACTAAGCCGAGGGATGAGAGGTGTACTATCTAATCAGGGCACTGTTCGCTCGTGTTCAAAAAATGCAAGGAAAGATGAATCATGTGGCAGCGTATCGCTTCTGCTGATGCTTCGCAAGGGATGAGGAAGCTAGTTCCACGTGATAGGTTCTCGAACTGGAATCTGTGAGACGCTAACCCCTTGTGTATGTATGTGTAATAATGAACGCCTACTACTTGGAAACGACTATCTGCCGCAGAGTCTGCAGTGCTCCACGGAATTAAGGTATATACAAATGATAGTAGGTATGGTAACACAAAACTATAAAACGCAAAACTCGCGCAGTCCATAGTGCATTAAATTACCAAACATTAGCGCTTTTATCGAGAGAGTGTTCAGATAACAGTCTTCTTTAATAATGCACCGACATGAAACCACAACGTAGAGAGACTTGGATTATCATTGGTGCTTTCACCCCAAGTTTGGTCGCAGTAGAGTGGCTGGGGAGCTACATATATATTGGGATCAGCGGCACGGAGTGGAGTGGAGGGGTGAGAAACTATCTGATTTTGTCTATACCAAACGAAAGTCCTGCCAAATGACGTTGCTTCGATGAGAAGGAGATGAGTGGCGTCGGGAGTATTTGAAAACATCGAGGTAACATTTCCTTTTCGATATGCAGTCCTTTTTTGACCTACGCCTTAGAGACTTGGACTCTACGGAAGTAGGATGAGTTAGCCTTATTAAGGCCATGTGAGAAGGATGCTCGGAGTTTTCCGATACACGCAAATAGAGAATCCGTACATAGTTCTGAGCCTTTTTCACGAAAGCTCTGATTGAATAGTTTTTGTCCCTCAAGCGAGGGCTTTAAAATGGGATGCTATGTCTGCGACAGGGGCGAATGGTCACGTTATTGGCTCAATTCCAAAAAAGCCAACGATTGACGGGATGGTAGGTGATACAGGTTATGGAACGATAACCAGCCAGAACAAGTACACGTATTGTCCCACAGCGCTTTGCAGTACCTCATAAGTTTGCAGCAAAGTGATCGCACGCTCGGAAATGCTCTTAACTTTCACAAAGCTGGAACAACCTGGAAGTGTTCTGCGTAGTCCGTAATATCCTTCGGTGTTGCTCGGACGTCGCAACAAAAATAGAACTTGTCAAATTCTGCCGATAATTTAACTACTACCTGTAAGTTACTCTTTTTATCTGCTATCTCTTTTCACTGACGCATCAAAATTCAATTAGCATCTGGAAGCCTTACGTGTTTAATAAGACTTTCGATCTTCTCTTGTGAAATTGGTACTGAATGGTAGTTGTAGTACACTAACAGTGGTCCTTCATCGCTCATCATGCAATCCTGTAACGACTACCCATGCGCCTTCTACAATCAAGATCAAAGGTCGCTTTCTAAGAGTGTAGTTCTGTATCATTTTCCTTATCTTGCAATTCAAACCTTTAGATTAAAAGCCGTAAAATATCGTTGTTGAGGACACACTTGCCACTTGCTTCAATTCCGTAACGTCCATCAAACCGCTCTTTTCAAACTTATTTTACAACAAATTTTATGTTCTTCCAGTGTGGGAATGATTTCAGCAATGTAACAAACGAGTGGTGAATATAGTAGTTTGCTGTTATTTATCATCACGACCGAGATCATTCACGGTGACACGCAACGCTAGGTTTATTACTACATAAGACTGTGAAAATTGACTCAACTACCTTATAGCGACCTCGATCTTCTTATTTTACTCGAAGAATCTCCGGTTGCTCGAATCCAGACAGCGCGGAATCACACAACCATACTCTCTAGGTTCTTTTGAGCGGAAAAAACCTTTACCACAAAGTGGGAACTAGTTGCTGCTATTAAGGATCTCAGAGAAGATTCATCCATAAGAAAATCAAAAAGCAACAGACTCTTTCTAACAAACACCTTCTTCAAAGTATCGAGGAGTGCTAAGGAGGCTGTCTTCGTAAGCATGAAACTACGTCAGTGTTGAACAGCACGGTTTTCAAGACGATCGCAAGCTCATTCGCGAGTTTGCAAACCCAAGTCACAGATTTAGTGTGTACTAGCGGACTGTCGATAGAGATAAAAAGAACTTTATAAATGCAAGAGCCACTTCACCAAAATTAGCCTTTCGATACCCTAAGAACTATTTTCCAAATGCAAATGAGCGCACGACTGACCTAAAGTGTTATCGGCATTCTAGCCATGGTCGAATCGGCAAAGCAACACGGTCATGTGAGCATGTAGCTGGATGGCAGGAATTTCTGCTATAGTGACCCCATTTGCTATGAGCAAGCAATTACACCCACATCATGTCTTTCTGCATTACATAACGTGGTGGGTGGTTGGAGGAAGAAAGTGTCTTCAACAATAATAAAATCTGAAGAAAGGCAGTGCTACAAGAAAACATGGAGTTTCATTTATAATACCTATCACGATTACTCTGCCACCTCAGCGCTTTTAGCGTTGGAGACTCGAGGAGGGACAGGATTATTCTTCCATTTCGCTACTAACTACAAAACATATCCGACCCCTGTGGTACTTCAGTAGAGAGGTTGCACGCCCTAAACTTTCGTCTAGGATCCGCCAGAAGGATAGTTAACCTCTGAAGTGCTAGAGGGCAGGTTTAGGTTTAACATATATTATTATTTATTTATTTCAAATCACCACACTCGAGATTCCTTGCTACTTCAACTTCCTTTTCAAGGCGGCATTCGATACTGCGAGATGGAACTGCACTACCGTGGTTTGCAACTTTTCGAGTGTTGAAAAAGTACTTGTAGACAGGAACGCCAGTAGATGTGTAGATTCATTGGAAAACAGAACTGAACTTGAACTTGGCAACAAAAAAACCTCTGAGTACTGGTCTGACAGAGCTATGCGCTATGCGTACAAAGCGAGGTTTTGCAAAGTCTGTGATGTCATGTTTAATTGACGTAGATCAATAATACCCTACAACACCTCCCCTCTTGAGTTGTATCTTACCGGGACCTCTTAGGATCCAGTTGGAGTCGGCGTTGCGGCAGTCGTCTGCGTTGCGATCGTCGTGGCGGATCGGTCGGAGTCGTCCGCTGCGCGTGTTTGTAGTTGCGGTCGCACTTGTTTCGCTTCTAGGTCGCAGCCGCTTTACGTATCGGGTACACAGCAGATTTAAACAACGCACGAGGATAGTTGTGTTTGCAACACGTCGAGTGATGACACCCGGAGACCAAGACGGCTTTGTTCTTCTGTAGTGCTTGGCCTAGACAGCGTCGTTGGTTTCGAACTTGCGTTGTAGTGCTCCATATCTTCAGTTCCCATTTTGACGTCTCACGGTCCATCAGCGATGTCTTCTTGAGGTAGCATCAGATAAAGTTCGGTTCGCAGTCGACGTTCCAGGAAGGCTTCGGCAGGTGAGCGATGGTCCGGGTCAGACGGGCATGGAGTGGAGCGGTATGCCATCATAAACGTTTGGAGAGTGTCAGCTGTCGGTTCATCCGCCTTCAATTTGGCGAGTCCTCGTTTGAAGGTATTCACAAAGCGTTCAGCCTGTGCATTGCACTGCCATGGAACGGCGGCGTGCTAATGTGTGTGATTCCTCGGGAACGACGGAACAGGGTGAACTGTAAAGATGTAAACTGTGCCCCGCTGTCCGTGAGCTACAATTTCTGACAAGTTGTTCGATGTCGGTGTCCAGTGTTGGCCAATAGACGTAACTTCGTGTTAACATCTTCATCCTTGTCTGTCCGGGATGAGCCTTGTGTCGTAAGTACACGGCGGTATCACTATGCGAGATGCTGTGAGTAGACAGCCGTCGACAGTCGTCAGAGGGTCTCGGCGGTCGTAATGGTGTCAGAATGAAGAGTTGTGATTTCCATGGGCCAACTTCCAGACTTGGTGTAATCGATTATCTTCTCTGTGACATGCTCTTGTAGCAGTCTGGATTGTTTCGGCAGAGACCGGAAGGTGACGGCAGTTCTCGATAAGTTTTACAGTCACATCGACATCTACGTTGGCGATAACGCAGTCCTCCGGGTTTATGAGTGCAACGCTATGAGACGTGAGAAATCGTCCACTTGTCCAAATTCCTTTGTGTTGGCATACTCGATTGCGAAGTTGTAGTTGAGTAACATTGTGGCCCATCGCTGGAGACGGTTGGCACCGGTATTCCTTTCTTGCTTCCGAAAATAGCAATGAGTGGCTTGCGATCGGTCTTCAGCGTGAATTGACATCCGTAGACAAAACGCTGAAACCTCTGCACAGCGATTCTCGATCTGGCTGTAGTTTTTCTGTGCTAGAGTGAGGCAACGGCTAGCGTGGTAGGCGACCTCTTCTGATCCGTCGGGGAATGGGTGAGATAGTGTTGCTCCAGTTCCGTAGTTAGAAGCGTCGGCGGCCACAAAGATTGGAAGATTCGAATCGAAGTGAGTCAGCAACAGATCCGAGCTGAGTATTGCCTTTCACTTGTCGAAGGAAGATTGGCACTCAGGTGTTCACGTGTAGACAGCATCCTGCTTCGTAAGGGCGTCTTACGCAGCGCGTAGGCTGTGTAGATCTTTGACGAAGTTTTCTTAGAAGTCGATGCGTCCGAGGAAGGCGCGTAGTAGGCTCTTGGAGCTGACATCTTTTGTGTGGTTTTGACCTTGTTGGGGTCAGGGCATCGTCCGTCGTTAATGACGTACGTTGATGAAGGTAGTTGATCTCTGTTTGCAGAAAACTGCACTTCTCGAGGCGAGCACGGAATCCGTAGTCTTGGACTCGCTGGAACACAGCGTCTAGACGAGTGTTGTGTCCGTCGATGGTCCTGCCAGTGACCAGTATGTCGTCGGGGTAGGCGGCAGTTCCACCTTAGCCGACAACGATAGCGTCGATGCATTGCTGGAAAATTCCAGGAGCAGGCTTAACTCGAAGGGGTAGGCGATTAAAATGAAATAGTCCTCGGTGCGTATTGATCGTCAGCAGCTGTATTAAATCGTCGTCCACTTCTAATTGCAGGCACGCTTCGGCAAGGTCGAGTTGTAAAAATTAGCGTCCTCCGCTGAGCTTCGTAAAGATGTCATTTGGGTTGGAAGCGGGTGCTGGTACTGTTCAAGTGCGTCGTTTAGTCCTGTCGAGTAGTCTACGCAGAGTCTCATTGGACCATTTTTCTTCTGAACGCGACGATAGGAGCGGCTCTTTCTGAGCGATGGATGGGCGTCAGAACCTGTATAGATACAAGGCGATCTATTCAGTCGAAATTTTCTGAACAGCAGCGCATGGAACAGGGCAACCTCCACAGACTTGGCGTTAGGCTTCAGAGTGAGCTTGGCCTCCGACTTGGTGCAATGTCCTAATCCAGGCCGCGGAAACGGTAGAGAACTTCTTCTTCAAGCGCGCAGTGAGAGAAGAGTTCAATGCGTTGAGCGTCGATGAAGGTACTTTACAGATGGAGCCTTCGGTTAGGCGACGAAACAGAGGCTCGTAGTGGATGATCCAGTTGAGATCTAGTAATGACGGTGTATCGGCGACGCAGCAGGTACCTCGTCCGTGATGACCATCATTGGCGAAATTGCACTCGTAGCATCCTCGGACATTGATCGACTTGTCGATGGCAGACCTCAGAGTGATGTGGTCGTAACATCGTACGACTCATAGCGATTCAGTCCGTATTGCTCACAATGTGATTTCGGCACCGGTGTCAAGCCGCATGCGTATTTTCTTCCCATAGATCTGCACTGGGCGGTAGATGCAATATATGAAAGTATGGCCGGCATGCGTTGAGGCGACGACGACATTGTTGGCTGTTTTCCGCCTTCGTCTAGGTTTCGCTTCCTCTTGGCCGTGAAGTTCCTGCAGAATCCTCGCTTGCATCCGGAATTCCCGCAGTCATGACAGGTCTTGTCGCGAAATGAACAAACCCTTGACCAGTGGTTTGCTCCACAGCGAAAACATGACGATGATGGGTAGTGTTTTCCGGTTCTGAGAGTCAACGGTGTTGATGTGTGAGGAAAGAGACCGCTCGGGAAGAGTGGCACCCTGACGAATGTTGAGAAACTGCCGGATCTCCACGGACAATTCTCTCAACGTGATTTGGGGATTATCTTCCATCTTGCGAAGGGCACGGGTCCGTATATCAGCATCTTCGGGAGAGGCGAGTCCGCATATCCATACGAGCCGTTTCATCGGCTCTGGGTTAACGTCGTTGAATTCGGCCATCGCGTGTCGCTGGATGACTAGTCCAGTATAGTTACGATGATTCTCGCCATTGCGTTCGGTTTTCAGATATACGGAGCGGCGCGAGAAAACCGACGTGTTGTGTACAAAAAGTTCTTTCAGCGTGAATACGGTGCCTCACAAGCTCTTCTAGGAAGGATATGGCTCGTGAAGCGAGCATATGTGATGGCGTGGAGCTTCGAGACGATAAGTACCTTACAACATCGAGAGAAAAAGAAGAATCATTGTTCAACAAAAACTTAAGTTTTTGGGTATAACTGTGGACCCCTAACACTTTCAACATTTCCGTACTAGAATCAGCTTTTCTTATAATACTTTTGCACCAGTTAGGACGCTGTGACAATAGGCACAAGTCAGAAAAGTATAGAATCCTTGATGAAGAGTCGAATTTCTAATGTCGACACTACACTCACCTTCAGGAATCCTTTGAACAAAATTGTTTCGTTTGCTCTTGAAAGGGAAAAGGCGTATCAAATGAGCATTCTATCTTTGTAATAGCCACAAGAGAGTCGAAACATAATCCGCGCAATGCGATTGGTTAGAGGCAAATTGATCGTTTTTAGTTATCACCTTATCTTATAGACCAGTCGCTCCACCCGCTTAGCTTCCATCCTTTTTATGGTAGGGTTGTAGTAATTGGCAAGTCAAGTCCTCATTTTGGAGCCAAATGATATTATTCGGAACACGAACTTCGACAGAAGACTAATCGGGCATGCAATATGTATTTGGAATAAACTTATGCCTATGCCTAGAATTAGAAGTTTCTTCTGATGGTATTCATCTTTAAAATAATGACTCATTGAAGGGCCAACTGGTAGGCAGCCAAAGCTCGGATAAGTCTTGTCAAGGATGATATTGAGGTGAAGAGAAAATTGATTCCCCATTGAGTCGCAAACTTTGCTGGCAGTGGTCAAAACCTAATTGCTTGAAATGAACTAATTTTTATCTCCTTAAAAATGAGTAGTCCCAGACGGTCCCCATCACTTCACTTAGCGCTCTTGGGCGTTGGATCTAATTGGTGAGTGGATCTTCTTTCCTAAGACCTATCCCAACGTTAGTATTCCCATCCTGCCTCCTATGCTCCTGTGGGGAATCCCGCCCCTTGTGTCTCTAGACCCTGGAGTCTAGTCCTGCCACCCACCATAAGTGTTCCCTTCCTGCCGCCTGCACTTCTACCAAGTTGAACGTCCTAGGGTCAAATTGGCGATATTCGCGCACCCCGATCCGTGTGAGTGGAGTCGAACCCTCCACCCTTCATAAGGTCGAATCCTGCTCCTATAGTCCTAGCAAATTTGAACTTTCTAGGTCGATGGGGACATGAGTTATGAATTTCCGGACACACACATACAAACACACACACAAACACACAGACATTAGCGCGTTATATATTGTAGGATATTCATTCATCGTGAAGCTTACCAAGTATGGTGGTCGGATATATCGGTTTCACGGATAGTGGCGGAGTGAAAGAATGATTCGGTCCTACCTCGAATGTTCGATGTTCGGAGCGCTGAGGTGTGGTACGTTAGGAACGAAATGGTCGCGTCGCGGGCGTCGCGCGCGAAGGAAAGTAGCAGGATGCAGCAGTAGGTAAGAAATGCAAAAACAAAAGTACTAATAGTAGAATCATGCCCAAAATAAGGATCGCATATCGATTGAGCTGTATGAAGAACGCTAGAGCTGTAATAACGACGAATGAGTGGTCCGCGACAGCCGCGTGCGGCAAATCGATTACCCAAAATCGTTCCTAACGCCCGTCTCCCGGAGCGCTGAGATGGCAGTTTAATCGTGACATTTTATCAGTTTTCATTACTGTTGGTGACACTTTCTGTCACCAAACACCAACTTATCCATAATTCCCCTCATCGTCCTCTTAACTCACACTGTTCCACCGATAATAAGGACACGATGAAAACTGGCTTCAGCATGGAGCGAAGCGGCTAGCCTGACTCTGTCTTTATTAAGTTTTTTGTCAACCTGAGCCAGTTGTTATCACTTTCGGATGCCAACAAGCTCCAAACACGCCACCCTCAAAAGCACGATTCGCGATAAAAGTGGTGGTTTCTGAGTTCTCCCGTTAGAAGGGAGTACTCAGTGGCCCCATAGTGGGAGCCCGGTACCGGATCGTCCGGACCTCCCGCTCCTCGACTGATGTCACGCCAGACGAGTGTCAAGGCGACACAAATTGCAACGTTCGCTCTAGGATCCACACACAATCAACTGATCGCTGAGCGAAGAGACCATATACTCCTTTCATTCTATTTTTCTCTGTTATTTCTTTTTGTTGCTGCGATCCTTTATCTAGTTTTCTACCCAGAGAAGATGGGAAATATGGGCTCTTATCTTTGCTGTTGTTAGGAGTTTTTGTTGACTTATGCTTATGACTGAATGAATTTTAAGGTACATTTTTGCTGCCAGCTATTCGCACCAGGACCCACACACGTGCACACATTGTATAGCTCGTCCAAACACCCCTTCTTCCTCATTGTTATGGTCTCATTCTCGCCCAACCCCCTTTTGAATCATTTTTTGGGACCTTTTCTATCACTTCAAAGACGCCGAAATGCGCACTTTCTCAGCCTTTATCGCACTATTTTCCACCTCGGTTTTTCATCATAATCCGGATTACCCAAAATTATCGTGAGCTGAGCCTTTAGGACAAACAACAACACACAAAGCTACCAAGTTAAAACAAACGACGTAACGAAAGCACAACAGCTTCTGCCTTAACCGTTCCCTCTTGTGCTTTGCTTTGCTTTGCCACTCAATGTCACCTATTTCCCCCATGAGAATGCTTAGACACACTGCGCTATTAATTCTGAATCCGAAGCTGACAAAGTTTTCAGAAAAGAATTGACTTGAATGTAATCTGCAGAGCGCTGCATGATGTGGGCTAGCAGATACACCACGAACCTGTGCAGCCGAGTGCGCGTCTGTCCTTGAACACCCAAATGCAGCAGCTTAACGTTTCGCAGTAGTTAGAATGTGTTACAGAGGTAGCTGGTAGCATACAAAGGTAAGGCTAACATGTGAGTGTGACTGATTCCCCATAGAAGATAACACTACTATGATAGCATTCGCGCGCTCAGATAGCCTTGCTGCTTTGCTCATTGAATCATGACTGGAATGCCGATAAAGATACAGACCAGCCGTGTGGCCATTTAGATTTGGAAAACCTATTTTCAGAGTATCGAAAGACTAATTTTGTGAATTTGCTCCCCGATTTTGAGAAATCCTTTCCAGTTTCTTTTGAACAGTCCACTTATGCTGTTGCGAGAACCGTGCGTTATCCTACCTACCTCCTTTGAATGACACAGCTGTTCTCCTATACCCTCTTTCAGCAAATACGCTTCAGCGTGCACGCTATTTGATCCGACTTAGCATCCGGCATATCCAAATACTCTCTATTCTTAGGTACTCAGCCTTAAGGCACAGTTCACGATAGAAATGGTTTCTTAGATATCCCCTAGTGCCCCCCAAAGACAGCAGACTTGAAGGTGTGCGGCCCAAAAAATTAGAAGATAGGGTACAGTACGAGCTCAGTCACTGGGTAGGTAGGACGCCACGCCCATCGCCCGGCACGACCCACACGTTCAGCATGCAATCAGCTAATCGCTTTGAGTGGAAAAGCCTCTTGTTGTTTATAACTCCTTGATTCCCTGCCAGTTTCTTTTCGGCAGTTCCAGCGCTAAAATTTTTGCGCAATTTTTCTCCTTATAGCAAACTCTTCGCGCCAGTCCCTAGCATGCGACGAGACAAAGGATCTTCAATTTGCCCCAAAGCACTGCCAAGGACCCATAGAAATCAAATTCAATTTGAGAGTAGTCATTGGAGATGACAACGCGGATACATGCATCAATTACGGATTTTGCCTTTTTGATTCTAGTATCTAGGTGGCGGACGATGGGCCTCATTCTGCAGGCATAACGAACTCTGTGTTGAGAAGAAGTGCCCCGAAAGAGACGGATTCACAAGAAAACGTTAGGTTCATCTTGAGGAGGTCGACTAAATATTTACGCTTTAAAAGTTGAGGGGACCTTTTAAGAAGCTTTTGCGTTTTGAGGCTACAGGTTCAGATTGTTGCAAGTGGCGGCGGTTAAGCGTAGCTTGAAGAAACAGAGGAAGAGAGTCGAACTAATTAGACTAATTGCAATGAATAGATCAAGACAAGGTGTCATCCTTGCACTCCTGAATTCACGTTCAATTTTTTGAATGTGGATTTAGAAGTGCAAGGATGACATGCGGTAACGGGAAGGAGAAGGATCGAACGTGGATCCAGGAGTGCACGTGGCAGGTATCGAAAAAGGGTAATTTGCAGAGCTATAGAGAGAAAAAGTCAGAAAAAGAGTCGAAGGAAACCATTGAAAGCTGCAGCTCTTCTTAATTGCATCGCTTAGTTAGACAGCCTGGCTCCCGAAACAAGAAAGCCGTTCTCACTTAACTGGGAACGGAAGCTTATTGCGCTGTTGAAAATGAAGGCTAACAAACACACTATCGCCCCTTTCAGCCAGAAACCCAGAGCTACTCCATTAGATCCTTTGAAGAGAGTATTGATAAGATTCTCTCAAGTGAAGATAAACAGCTGCTCGAACTCTTCCGAGAAATGAAACCCATTGCCTTCCGGGACATTTTTAACATGCTAAAAAAACAAATGTGACGCTTTGTAGGACTCGAAGTAGATTCCGAGGAGATAGAGCAACATGGTCATGAAGTGATGAAGTCGATCGAGTCGCGAGGCAGGAGGAAGCTCTGGCAGAAAACGCGAGCTTCAGAAGATCAGCTGTCTTCGCAGCTTCCAAGAAGGTCGCCGTGTTGTTGTAGCGAGAGCAAAGAATGCGAAAATGGACGCACTGTACTAGAAACTGATCGAGAAGGAGAGAGGTTCGTCTTCGGGCTGGCGAAAGTGATGGCAAACGGCAATGTTGGTGGAGTTGGATTTCTGATCAATTCGACAATCGCCCAGTTAGTAGACTCGCATAACATCGTCAGCCCGCGTCTTGCCGTCCTGCGCACAAACGACCGGGTTGCAATTTCTGTCATCAATGCATGTGCACCTACATTGGTGGCGGCAGAGGAAAAGCGAGAAGAGTTTTATTGACTTTTGGAGAAGACGATTTAAAAAGAGAATAGCTACTATAAATATGTCTTAGACTAGACTCCAACGAGACTGGAAACTCGGACCTTATGGCTCCGGCGACAGGACCGAAAACGATGAACTCCTTCTAAACCTTTTATATGCGTGCTACCTTTTCCATGGAGACTCCATGTTCGAAAAGCCAGCCAAGCGATGGTGGACTTGGGAGAGTCCAAACGGCCGGACGCACACGGAGATAGATAATATTCTTACTAATCGACGCTGGAGTCTACTTGATGTATCCGTGCTGCCCTCTTTTGACACCGTCTCGGATCATCGCCTTGTGCGCGCAAATATACGACTCAACAGGCGGATATTCAAGCGCGACACGCACAGGCCCGCACACTTCAAGACTCCCTCCTTTGATACAGAGCTACTCGAATCTGCCATTAAAGCTCATGATTGGCGTCTTTTAGAGGATCCCACAGAAGACTACGAACACCTAACAAAAGGTTTGCTTAAGTGTGCAGACATTTCTCGTCGTCCACAGCTAGCCCGAATTCTGAGGTTGAATGCTCTTGCCGTATCCCTCTTGGAAAAAGGAGAGCACTCAAGCAGGATCCCAACGCCAACCACGTGGAAAAAGCCCTCGCAAACAAAGCCTGCCGTATGGCTGTCAAGCAATCTCTTCGGGAGTACAAGAGAACGAAGTTACTGGAAGTAGCCGAAGCGAGATCGAGCATCAGGCGCTACAAACGAGATCTCAGCGATCAGAAGGCTGTGATGTCCGCACTCTTGGGCTAAGATGGAAGTGTAAACACGTCTAAACGTTCTATGGAGGATATCGTTCAAGATTTCTACACAGAACTCTTTCGTTCCTCCACCTTTGTGCCTAAATGCTTGATACCGCCCTACGAAGAGCTCCCGCTATCCTAGTTTGTGGCAAGTGGCAAACGCGATAAGAAGCGTGAGGAAAGGCACAGCTCCAGGCTTGGACAATATCCCTGCGGATTTTCTCCGCTCTGGAATTACCGCTGTTCACACCCTTCTTGCGAAACACTTCAACTACTACCTCAAATTGGAAAGGATTCCAGAGCAGTGGAAGGAATCAAGAACCATTCTTCTTTTCAAGAAAGGCCAGCGGGAAGACATCTCCAATTACCGTCCCATCAGCCTATTATCGGTGGTACACAAGTCATTCACGAAAATTCTGCTCAGTCGCGTGGAACGCATGTTGGACGAATACCAGCCAGTAGAGCACTCTGGTTTCAGGAAAGCTCTCCTGCATGGATAACATCCACGCAGTCAGTCAGCTTATTAAGAGAAGCCGAGAATATCGCCTTCCTTTAGCCCTTCTCTTCGTGGACNTAACAAGTGGTGCGATACAGGAACAGTAAGGTTAGAAGGAAAAGCTCTGCAAAGAGTTGAATCCTACGTATATCTGGGAAGAGAGCTGAACATGATGAACAATATCGCTCCAGAACTAAAACGGAGAACATGGGCAGCTTTCGGTTCAATTCGTGAAGTGACAGACCAGGTCAGCGATCCCGACCTCAAGGCATCGATATCCATCGCCTCAGTACTGCCAGCGATGTGTTATGCGACTGAAACGTGGCCTGACAATAAAACAATCGTCAACGCCATAATGACTTCTCATCACGCGTTGGAAAGAAGTTTTGAAAATCAGTCGACGAGAACAGTGGCAACAAGGCTTGCGAAGTTCGGACCTGAAGGAGAGATCGCGCTTGAAAGACCCGCTTCAATACATGGCACACTCGAAGCACCGCTGGGCCGGTCATCTATTTCGCCGAACTGATGACAGATGGAGTGCTCGAGTCACAGAATGGCTTCCGAGAAATATAAGAAGACCGTCAGGACGTCCGCCGACTCGGGGGGCCGATTCTTTCTCCAAATATTTCAGAGAAAGCGGCCTACATTGGATGCAAGTCGCGAAGGATCGGGAAATTACTAGAGGAGCTAGAGGAGCTGTGGTCCCCGCTGAGAAGACCCTCTTGCCGATGGACCATCAAAGTATCAAAGTAAAGTAAGTAAGTATAATAAAACGAAAATTCAGTCCGGCACTCGGCTCTTACAGTAACCCCTGACTTACCCAACCACCCAGCCCCGTGTCCTTGCCCAAAGCCCCTTTTCAACGCGTCGTATATGTGACGGGTAAAAATTTGCGTATTAACACGTGCCGGATAACTGTAAGAGCCGAGTGCCAGACTGAATTTTCGTTTCTGTATTTGTCGCACGCACCCATAATCGCACGAATCGCAACACACCCAGGAAAGCCCGGCGTCATCCGGGCGGTCCCACTGTCTCTGTATATAAAGCGGTATCTTTGTGTTTGTGGGTCGATTTGTGCGTCTTCCCGAAAGTCACGCAGGCACGACGAAGATTGTGAATGCCACGTGAGCGCGGTGAGGAAGCAGTCATGAAATGAGAAGTCAATCGATATTGTTCATATTGGTCCTCTAGCAAGTTGTAGGTAAGCGGTAGTGGGCATGTGTGCACGCATTAGCGTGCGTAGCCCAACTGATGCGCAAAAAGATAGAAAAATCGCCAATCGCCACCACTTGATTCGATTTATCGAGGCCAAGTGTATGCTCGCCTTATGGTCGATGCTGTCGGATCGCTATCAATATCATTATCCTCCTCTTGAAATAACTTCGAACCGTCATTATCGTACTTTGCGGTGATCATGCCGCTTTATTGATCATGATTTTCGGAAGTAAGAAACAAAAGGCACGCAGATAAACATGCAAACCGATAGATAGACAAACCATCAAACCGGCAGACCGAACCTTAGCAGCGATTAGCAGAAATCAGCATTAGCAATGGATTGTATTCATGAAGGTGAGGGGGTCATGGATAACACTTCTGATGATGGATTATCATCACTGAACTTACAATTAGTCAATAAGTATACCTGTTTTGTGGTCTAGTCACAAATTCGTGGTGTCAACGCTATTGTCGACTCATTCCCTTTCAAGTATTATGTGATTTAAATTGCATCACATGCTCTAGGAAAAAGAACTGATGATTCTTATTCTGGAATAATCTAACAACATTTCCACCAATCACTGAATCGAAATATTGCGGTACTCTAACAGGGCAGACTAGTGAGAATGGTTTCGACGCAGCCACAATGACCCACCTCCGTTCTTTAATCAAAAATATAATAGTCGCTCGCTCTTCCACCGCGGTCGGAATAGTGAGGTTACTTTCCGAACTTTGATGATAAGAGAGATGGCGCAAGTATCGAGACTGCCGTATTAGGAGGTCTAGAATTCGAGCGCAAATGATTGCCTTATGTATTTATTAGCCCATGCGACGCCAGCAAAAATGTGAGATAGAGCATCCCGAATGTTTCTCCATAAAAGGGCTCAGGTCGGTTAAAATCTGCACCGGTTGGCGACCTTTCAATCCTGATTCACACTCAGTTTGGAAGACACTTTCAACGAAGTAGACCTACCGAACCGCCAGCCAAATGTGAAGATGAAGAATGAAGCACTCCCTTGCCTTTGAAGATTCGACCGATAACAACCAACTAGCGAGTGCCACGAAATTTCACACAAAGCAAATCTTTTTGATATCACACGTAAAAGTGTTTCTCAACATCAAAAAACAACACAGGCGAGTACAGCGAAGCATATTTTGTGTGTAATCGAAAGGCCGCAAGGCACTCCAAAGATGTTTGCCGTTGCTGAGACGAACTGCGATGTCCCAGTCTGGCAATGATGCAACGGCTTCATTTGAATATGAGGGTAACTTGTTCGCGCGAAGAATATGCTGAATACGAAGTCGGTCCATTCAAGAAGCCTTGTTACTTTGATTCGATGCTGCTTGTGCCTGGATCGGAGACAGTCGTCGATCACCTGTGTCACCTGTAGTTCCGTTGATCATCGATGTCCTCGAGCAGGCGCCAGTAACGTCTCCATTCGCCTCTGTCGCGAGCCAGAGTGGTCCAGTGAAACGTCCTCGCTTCAGGGACACGAGGTCCGACATTTCTTCCTTTCAGAGCTTTCGTGGAGAACTCTGACCATCTCGTTCGTGTCCTGGAGTTCGTTTGATGTCCCTAGGGATCCAGTCGGTAACCATCGTGGTCCAACGGTCATCACTATATCGCATAACTGTTCGGCCCACTTGATCTTCGATTTCTTGACGTAATCAATGGCATCCATGATCTTCGTTTGATGACGGAGCTTGGAACTCTAAAATCCCTTCGGTCGTCGATGGGAGGTGATAATAATCGATAAGAGCTCATAAGACCGGAGTATTTCAACCCTTTATTCTTTCTTCATATACAGAGGAACAGTGGCGCATAATATGAACTCAGACGAGATCATATATGCTTTATGATAGTAGCTGTTATCAAACTTCAAGGGCTGACGAGGTCAAAGAGGCAGGGGCCGCTAAGTCCATTGCGCCGTTCTCTTCATCTTTTTCGTTTGCGTCATGGGATGGAACGAGCTTTTATTTGGTAAGTGACAAGGGCCGTTAACAATGATAAGGGCTGATAAGCACTGTAGGCAGCCACATATACCGGCTTTATTGGCAGTCCCTACCTGGTTACAAGATGTCCCGTGAATGTTAATAATGTAACACATTCACGAAACTATGAAATTCATCTTGTAACCAAGATAGGGGCTGCCAATAAAGCGGGTATACATGCCTACAGTTCCTTTTCAGCCCTTATCATTGTTAACGGTCCTTGCCACTTACCCGAAGACGCACTCAGGCGTCTCCAAGCACAAATACGACGCAACAATAAGGTACCCTAGGTGAAGCCCAAGGGGGAGCGAGGAGGTGATGAGCACTGGGGGTACTGTATCACACTTTCGAGGAACGTTGAAAATTCCTCCAATATCTTGTTTAGGATGTAGCCTTGACACCTTTGAATGGTTCAAGCGATGAGGTAGAATGTTAAGGTTGATTTACCAGATGTGATAAACACGATATTATGGGTTGAAAAATGCAATTAGAGGAAGGGAAGCTGTTCAGTTTACATGATATTATTC